CTGATATGTAGATCAATTTCGATTTTTTTTTCTTTTTCCATAAGAAACAGTTCCAAACAGTAATAAAATTTTGAAAAAGATATTTATTTTCATATTTTTATTAAATATTTGAACTTATTTGAGACTTGCACCCTGTATAAATAAACTTTGCCTGAAAGACTAAGAATATTGTATAGCATATATATTAGGCAAATTAATTTTTTTAGCTAATATACATATATGTAATATATTTGCATATATATTAGCAAAATAAATAGTCGTATTATATATATTTGCGAAAATATTTGTTAATATCTCAGATTAATTAATATTAAACGTTTTTTAATTTATAAAATGTTAATATACAGAAAAAAATTAAAAGTTTTGTCGCCTTTGTATAATTTGGAGTCACTCTTAAACACTGGTAGTCTAATTCTCTTATTGATAGAGAAAAGCACATATTGCATTTGACATCAGACTATCAGACTCAGAATTACGGACATAATTTTATCAGTGAGAAATATAAATCGACGCCATTTTACTAATTACAACAAAAACTAATTAAATGCTTACATAGAGAGTTTTAATTTTATTTTTGGTTGTGATTTTTTGATATGACACGCATCAGATATGATGTTGTTCAAAGATCAGTCTCTTAAGTAATTTTTCGACATAGTAAACAGTTTGACTTATTTGCTTAGCTGTCTTAGAAAGTTTTTTCACACGATTCTTTTGAAAACCTACAACTAACTAGGTTGCATACAAACCTACCGACAAATAAAGCGTTAAAATAAAAAAAAATATTCGAACAAGCTTACACATGGGTCCTTTGGTATACGATAAGTATTGGGTTCTAAACCTACTAAGTTATTATATTGTTTCATAGCCTTTTTGTTTTAAATTGACAATAGTGATGTGCATTTTGGATAATATTAAGTCACTCGGATGCTGAAGAATACACATTACTACATACAAGTCATTAAAACTGCGTGATCTGGATTTTAACGTGTAAGACAGTGATGTAGACAGCTTAATGGAAATTCAAATGTATTAAAAAGAGATAAAAGTTGGGTCGATGCATTTTTTCTATACGGTATTGCCGGATTTTGCAAAGAGGTTGAAATTTTATTATTCGCAATAAGTTACTCATTTTATTACAGCTATATTAGATTATATTTAGCTTAGATATGTTATTCTCATTTCAGTAGTATACATGAAAGTTTTTAAAATAGTTAATTTTTTTCTCCTACAATGCTTTTACTCTCAAAATCACTCTTGAGAAAAGAATACAGCGTAGCAGAGAGACCCATGTCGCTTTCATAGATTTGGAGAAAGCTTACGATAGTATACCTATCTCAAGGTTGTGGAAGGAGATGGAAAACTTAGAGATCAATCCCGTGTTGATTCGGGCTACACAGACCTATTATAAAAATAACTCTGCAAGAATTAAGATAGGAAATGAGGTTACCAACTTTTTTAACACAACAAAATGATTAAGACAAGGATGCTGCTTATCTCCTACACTGTTCAAAATCTACTTGCACAGAGCTCTGGTGAATTGGGTGAGAAAATGCAAAAATATGGGGCTAAGAGTGGGGGATGACACATTATTTACATTGTTCTTCGCAGATGATCAGATAGTTATGTCTGAAGACGAAGAAGATCTCAGTTATATGATCAGAAAACTACAAGAAGAATATGAAGTCGCAGGTGAATCACCGAAATGTGAATACCTTTTTGTAGGCAATGAAGAGATAAATGACCTAATCTTAGACACTGGTACGATAAAAGGAGTTAAATCGAGTAAATACCTTGGAATAATATTTAATAAAAAAGGAAACAGCGAAAATGAAAAGAAGAAAGAGTAAATAAGGGTAGAACAGTAACCAAAACATTGAACTCCCTTCTCTAGGATAAACAAATTAAAAGATCCACAAAAAAGCGCATTTATAGTAGCTTAGTCCAAAGTGTAACCCTCTACGGTTCCGAAATATGGGATGCTACAAAAGCCAATAAAAATAAACTTATGGCAACTGAAATGGATTTTTTAAGAAGAAGCTGCGGACGATCAAAACTAGAAAGAATAAGGAATGACGTCATCCGAATGCAGATGCAAATGGATAGACACATACACGAACACATAGAAAAAAGGCAACTAACATGGTTTGGACATGTGAAGAGAATGAACGTTAACAGATGGCCCAGAAAGATATTAGAATGGACGCCTTTGGAAAGAAGAAAGAGAGGACGGCCCAGAAGGAGTTGGCGGGACGACATCAATCAGGCGATGACCGCGAGAAACTTGATGAAGACGAGGTTTTTGATAGGAAAAGATGGAAATAGGGGACGGAGACACGGCAATAGCTGTAGAAATCCGTTATATATGTATATATCATTTTTTTCTCCACACATTTTCCTACAAACTTAAAAACTGGCAACACTGCATGCTGTTTTTTTATTTTGTCTCTCTGTCTGTCAACCGATCATTTATATTTATCTCTGTCGCATGCACTAAAATACAGACCATGCAGGTGAAGTGACCAGACCTACTACACAGAGTAGTCATTTCATGGAATGACGAATTTCGTTTTTCCAATAAGTACATAGAAAAATGTATAAAGTCTTATTTTTGTGTTACCAGATCTTTTAATAATAATATCTATTTGTTCTTTTTTTATTCTATTTTTTCTAAGTTTTTAAAAAGTACATTTTAATTTAAGTAATACATTTTTTTAGAAATCAGTTGTTTTACTCATATCAATTTAAAAATTGCATGTGATGCTTCCAAATCCACTAATGATCACGATATTTTATGCACATCACTATAGTATATGTCACATACTTTTGTCAACTTTCGTACTATAATAGTACTTGTACAACTCGTCAAGTATAAAATGATATAATATGTGAATTTCTCAATGTATATACTCCTCCCATGCAGAGTAGCCATGTTTTTACAGTCAAGAAGAAGATTCTTGTTATTATTTTATCTTATAACGACTAAATTACAAAAATAAACACATTTTTCAAAACTTAAAAAGAATATATTTGTCTAACAGAATATAAATATGTTGTCATTATTTTCTTTAATTTTCAAAGTTAAATAACTCGGTTACTATCAATTTAATTTAAAAATTGTAAAGTGAAAATGTTTCTTTTTGCCAGATCTACCACCCCTTAAAATATTTGCACTTATTTCTGGGTCACTCTGTATAGCGCGAATATTTTGCAGTTGTCTTTAAGAGAGTCTCTTTTAGTTTACATTAGATGTCCAGGAAACTGTTAACTGGTGGTGAAGCAGGTTATTCACTTACTGCTGGGAGAAGATAGCAAGATATCATCCTATATATTTGACGAGCTTTATTTTGTCTTGATCCCACGTAGTCTAATATTCATTTCAATCACTTAAATTTAAGTGTAAAACTATAAGAGAGCTCTTTTTAGCTGAAACTAGCTATCCGGGAGACTGTAAGCAGTGTTGAGGCAGCTAATTTACTTATTGCTGGGAGAAGAAAACCAGATATGTACTTATCATTCTATATTTGGCGAGCTGCATTTCTCTTGGTCCCACCATAGCCTAACTTTCATTTAATTCTTAAATTTAAGTGTAAAAAAATAATAAGCATAACAACAAAATATATTAGCTGTCTGGGAGACTGCGAACTGGTGGTGGGACAACTTATTTGCTTATGGAGGAAGAGAGTCAGTTATCATCCTATATTTGACCAGCTGTCATTAGTTTGATCCCACATAGCCTAACTTTCGTTTCAATCATTAAATTTAAGTGTGAAAACAATAAGAGAGACTCATTTAGTTTATATTAGCAGCCCGGGAGACTGTGAACCTTGTGGCGAAGTAGCTAGTTCACTTATTGCTAGGAGAAGAAAGTTGATATCGTTCTATATTTGACGAGTTGTATTTTGTCTTGATCCCACCTAGTCTAACTTCAATTTCGATCATTAAATTTAAGTTTAAAATAATAAAAGAGTCTGTTTTAATTTATATTAACTGTCTGGGAGATTGTAAACTGGTGGTCAGTTAATCCACTTATTGATAAAAAAGCAAGCCAAGATATCATCCTATATTTGACGAGCTGTATTTCTTCTTGATCCCACATAGCCAAACCTTCATTTCAATCTCTAAATTTAAGGGTGTATTCCGTTGCTTACCTTGGTCATAGTTTTATGTTCCGTTTCTATGGGTTTCCTGAAAGTTTTCTTATTACGGAACACGGTTCCTGAAAAATTCGGTTATAACTGTCACCAAACTAACCAGCGCGAGAAGGCTGGTTTTTCTGGTTTTGTTTGTCAATCAATGCCATTTATGTGACAGAAATCAAGCAAATATTGGAAGTTCGAGTGAAATTCTCATTTAATTTCTAAAATTTGTAATAATATTTTTTATTTACATCCAAAAGCAATGGAGGTAGGCAGCAAAGGTAAATAAATTAGCTAAATAGGATTACGTTTTAGGACCATTTAAACTTATCACGCAGACATTGTCTCTTAAAGTCAGGAACATTTAAAGAAAACATGAAAAACAAGACAACAAGTAATCGTGAGTGTTTTGTAAGCTATAAAAATATAAATATTGAATAGATTTGTATATTTATTATTGATCTGTTTTAATATTGAACCTGCAAATCTTCACTTGAGCTGTCTAACGAGTTTATTAACAGTTTACTATATTCAATATTAAACTCAATTGAAAAGAAGAAGCAAACGTAAAAGCAGAGAATAGGTACATTAAAAATGCATAAAAGATAATTTTTTTAATAGAGGTATTGAAATTTAGAAAAGTCAACGTTTGACGTTTCCAGTATTTTTATGTTTTTCAGGAACCGCTCTTTACCGTAGTTTACGGGTCTGGTTCGCCTGGTTTTGCAACGGAATACAGCTTAAGTGTAAAACAACGAGAGAGTCTATTTAGTTTATATTAGCTGTCCAGGAGACGGCGCGCGCTGGTAGCGAAGGGCAACTTCCGATCGCTTATTGCTGGGGGTAGAAAGTAAAATGTAATTGTTAGGGAGGCACGTACGGGGGAGGTTTCCTGTAGGTGGGGGTGGGCTTGGGCCTGGGCTGCCTGCCGTTGTCCTGTGAGCTGCGGGTGAAGGGGGGCGGCGGCTGGTACGGTTCCGAGTCCTCCAGCTTGACCGATCCGCTCTTGCTGTACTCGGGCGGTGCAAGTGGTGGACGCTCGTCCTTGAGGATGACGGGGGCCTTGGTTCCCGGTTCCGGTTTTTCTTCCAGTTCCTCTTGGAATATCACAGGAATGCCTGGAAGAGTAGAGAGGGGTTAAATGTGGTTGTAGTTATGTTTTGGAAAGGAGTATGAATTGAATGATTTAAGAGGGAAGAAGGAATTTTAATGACAGCGCGTTTTTTAGACCAGTAGTTAAAAAAATGTACTTATGGAAAGAGTACATTAGTAATTATCGATTGCACCTATTTATTATAAAAGCTACCCATTCATGATTTTTAAATTATACAAGGTGTTTCAAAAAACCTGTGCCATCTCCCGTGGGGAGATTCCTCACTAAAAATAAGATTTATTTTTCATATCAACATAGGTCCGATTCTGCTTTGTTTCGTAGCTACAGAGTGTTAAAGTCATAATAATCTTTCGATTTATTCTAATTTTCCTCCAAGTACTTTTGGTGATTCCAATGAAATTTTGAGGGTAAAAGTTACTATAAATAAGTGCTACATATTTTAATGCTATAAAAGTGTCGATAAATTCATCAGGGATGTGCATATGGGTTATTACTGGAATATTTTTACAAAAAAAACATATGTTCCACTGACTTTTTTTCTTTATGTAGTAAAATTGTGTACGCCCTTTAATGTTAATGAAAAGTTATTTCTTGATATTTTATCGAATTCGGCCTTCTTGGTGAGATAAACGCAATTTTATTAATCGCAATTATGAAAATTCAAATAAAAATAAAATTAATAAACTATATATTTTACCTAATATAATAATAATAATAGCTCCCGTATATAGCGTTTAACGCCTTGGGAGTAGCAAGGTACAGCTTGCCATACTAGAGCCGTTCGGTATACAAGGAAGGTAATGTGGCTAGCACTACGCTTCAACCGCCTATTATTACCTCAGGATTGTGAATCCCAAGTACTTATTTAAGGCTGAGTCGATCTAGGTACCCAAACTATTTTTATTTTAATAAAAATAGTCGGCTGATGAAATGCCGGGTGTGGGATACGAACCCACTACCTTGAGATTGGTAGACGAGAGCCTGTACCTCTACGCCACCGGGCGCCTTTTTACCTAATTACTTATTAAATATTATTACTATTAGTTAATATTACCATTAGTCCAACCTACAGCAATTTGAAATATAAAAATAATGGTATTTGAGATAATTACAAAAAACCTAATTTTAAAAAATGTTAACATCCTGTAACTCTAAAACCATGCATTTCATTGGTTGTCATCTAACTATGGAAATGATGCTTTCAATGTTACTGGATATTCTTTTGTTAGAAAGGATAGAGATGGTCGAGGAGGGGGTGTGGCAGTATGTATAAAAAAAATTTATCATACGAAATTGCTCATTTGGACATTGCTACTAATTCGTGTGAATTTATAGCCGTCCAGTTAACTATAAAGCAAAGAAAACTTTTACTTTTCAATGTATATAGGCCTCCTTCGTCAAATATTGAAGATTTTATTAACTTCCTGGAAAACTTGTTGAGTTATACTGTGCCATTTTATGATAATGTGATATTTATGGGTGATTTTAATATTAACTTTTTAAAACAGTCTCCTGTGACATTGAAAATATCTAAAATTTTAGAGTCTTTTAATCTTGTACAAGTTATCAACGAGCCTACTCGTGTTTCAGATGGTGCCTGCAGCCTAATTGATGTAATGATCACAAATAATAATTTTAATTATGATTTCAGTACTTCCGTCCCTGTATCTGAGTCAGTTTCTGATCATTGTTTGATATATGTTATATTTACTCTACAAATATCCCATAGCTCTACGAAATATATTGAATATAGAGATTATAATCATATTAACCAGGAAAATTTTAAAAAAGATGCAATTATGTTACCTTGGGAAAATATTTTTTATATAGCGGATATTAATATTAAAATAAAAACTCTATATAATTACATTTTTTATCTCCTCAATAAACATGCACCGTTGAAAAAGAAAAAAATTGCAGATAAACCATATTTACCCTGGATAACGGATAACATTAAATTATTAATCAAACTTAGAGACAAAGCACATCAAAAATATTTAAAACAACGATCTGAAGCCAAATTACAATATTATCGTCAACTCAGGAATTTTACAAAACATGCTATAGTTAGAGAAAAATTAGTTATTTTAAGGGTTTATCGGAAAAGACTGGTAAAGACTTCTGGAAAGATGCTAAACGACTTAAGTTAACATTTAAATCAAGTCCGGAAGTTCCTGAAAACTTAGCGCTTAATAAGCTTAATATTTTTTTTTTCGAACTGTCAGAATTGCATTAATAGTACATCAAATAAAAAAATAGATTTTTATAGACAAAATAAGCATAAAAAATAGGGAATAATGTTCTAAATTTCAAACTAATAGATGAGGTATCGTTACATCAAATATTAAATTCTATTCGGTCTAATGCTGTCGGTGAAGATGATTTATCAATTAAAGCACTAAAGCTGTGCATGCCTTACTGTGGTAAAGCTGTAATAAATATAATTAATACTTCTATTTTAGACAATATCTATCCCGAAATATGGAAAAAAGCTAATATAACACCTCTCTGTAAAATTTCCAAACCTTTAAATAACAACGATCTAAGACCCGTGAGTATTTTGCCAGCAATTTCTAAAATTATAGAAAAACATCTACATAATCAAATTGTTTCATTTGTAGATTCAAATAAACTAATACCTGAATGCCAATCTGGTTTTCGTAAGAACTACAGCACTACCACTTGTTTACTAAAGCTGGTTAATGATATTAGAACAAATCAAGAAAATAAAAATATGACGTGTCTTAGCTTACTAGATTAGTAAAGCATTTGACACTCTAGACCATTCATTGCTCCTAGCAAAATTACAGTATTTTGGATTTTCAGACGGCTCTTTAGAATTGATAAAAAACCTTTTAAAAGATAGATCACATTGTGTTGTCATGAAACGGGGTAGTTTAAAACAAAAATCTAGTTATATTCCTATGATTTCTGGGGTTCCTCAAGGATCTATTCTGGGACCACTTTTATTTTCGTTATATGTAGCTGATATGGATAAGGAATTACAGTTTTCTAAATTGCAGCAATATGCGGATGATTCTCAAATTTATTGCAGAATAGATACTAATAATTTGGCACAATTTCAGTTAAATTTTAACGACGATCTTAATAAAATTAATAAATATGCTCTAGATCATAATTTGAAATTAAATGCCGGTAAATCTTGTGTTATAGTATTTGGTAGTGATATAAACAAAATTACAAATACGGCTGGTAACATGAATATCCATATAGATAATGTTGCGATACCCATTGTTACAGAGACTAAAAATCTTGGAGTTTATTTTGATTCGAAGCTTTCATTTCAGGCACATATAACTACTAAATTAAAGGCTGCTTATATACGGTTGAAGAATTTTTCGTCTCTTAAGAAATATATACCATCAAAGACTAAGTATCAATTATGTGACACACTTATTTTATCTTTATTTGATTATGGCGATGTTGTTTATGGTACATCCATAAACGCTAGATTCTCTAGAAAAATCCAAATACTTCAAAATTCGTGTCTACGGTTTTCTTTTAACATTCCTTTTAGAGATCATATAACGCCACATCTTAAAAATTTATCTATTTTATCCATGACTAACAGACGACAATTTCATTTAATGACATTCATTTATCGAATTTTAACTACAGAGCAGCCTCCCTATTTGTTCTCATTGTTTCACTACGTTGACCATGATCATTCGACTAGACAAGTGCATTATTTTAAAATTCCTCAACACCGAACAGCTAACTTCCAAAAATCTTTCAGTTTCATAGCGCCACATTTGTGGAATAATATTTCTAATAACTTTAAATTTCAATCCTTTACAGATTATAAAAAACAAATTAAAAATCATTTACTAAATTCGTAAATCTTATAATTTCTTCGACTGATTTGTGAGATCTTGTTCTTCTGATATGTCCGTCATTGGTTGCTGTTCCGGTTTTTACACTGTTTCATTATGCCTCTCTGCTTATCTCGGCTCGTCCCTGATAAAATTATATTTTCACTTTCTTTATATAATTTTAATTTTTTTAATTCTGTTTATTTTTGTAATTTAATTTATTTCTATTTTGTATTTGGGGTCGCACCACTCTGGCACTTTGTGCCATTGTATCGGTTTTTTAATCGCGGTGCGATCCCTTTAGACACACATTTATTAATACTAATATTATTCTGTAAAACTTAATGGGGTCTAATAAAGAAATTTGAATTTGAATTTGAATTTCCATACCCATGTTTATAGGATTTTTTTTTCATATTTTTGACGAGGAATCAATGAGTAGTTATTTAAAATTTTCGCAAGTTAATGATATTATTTTTTTTAAAGATTATTAAAGGTAAATTAATAAAATTGCGTTTATCTCATTAAGGAGGCCGAAATCGACAAAATATCAAGAGACAACTTTTAATCGGCATTAAACTACTTACACAATTTCGCTAACAAGACAAAAAAAGTCAGTGGCGTACATGCTTTTTTAGAAAAATATTCCAGTGATAACCCATATGCATGTCCCTGGTGAATATGTCGACACTTTTTAGCTTTAAAATATGTCGCATTTATAGTAACTTTTACCCTCAAAATTTCATTCGAAACGCTAAAACTACTTGGAAGAAAATTATAATAAATCGAAAGGTTATTAAGACTTAAACACCCTGTAGCTACGTAACAAAGCACAGTCGGACCTATGTTGATATGAAAAATAAATTATATTTTTACGTGGGGAATCTCTCCACGAGAGACGGCACATGTTTTTTGAAACACCCTGTATTGTGTTACTTCCCAAGTAGCAAATTTTATTTTATAGGATACCTCAATTCATATAACGTGCTATATGACCGTAATATGATAGCTTTACAACCAAAAAAGGCCCATTTTTATACAACCGTTAAGTAGTATAGAAGTTCTATAAAAAGGGTATACAACTCTTATGCAACTATTTTACACAGCATTATATGACTATTATAAAACTAGTTTTATTGTGTATTACGTGGTCACATCTAAGAAACAGAAC